CTCGGGTCGGGGGGGTCGCTCGCCTCGCCGTCGTCGGTCTGTCGCGGGTCGGCCGTGTCGTGGGGTCTTCCGCCGTCGTCTCTCTGGGCTCTTCTCTTGCATTTGCTGATTGCCCCCTCGTTCCCTTCCCGCCTTCTGGGTCATCCCCACCGCGGCGGTCTGTCTCAGTCTGAGCGTTGGCGTATCCAGTTGGCGGGTTCGCAGTGCTTGTCTTCTTTTTCACATTGTCACCTTTTGGTCGGAGTGGAGCGACCTTTGCGGTGCGGAGGCGCATACAGTCTCTCTTGTGCCTAGGCGGTTGACTCATCTTTTGGTGCTGATTTCACCTGCCTTCATGGTGGCTCCTCGTGACTTTGGTTGCGTGTGGGGCTACTCTTTTAAAACTGGCGTTTGCACTGCACGCTGGCCATGCTCGCGCCTGTCCACCACCCATGTGCGCCGCCGCGTTTCGCGGTCGCTGCTCGAGGTCGCTGAGTTCAGCTTTATTTTTTGTTGTCCAAGGCTAAGCCAGTCTCGGCAGCGTAATCATCTTTGTCACGCCGACCTCTTGCATGTTGAAGCACGGTCGCCTTATGCGGTTCTTGCCCTCGCAAGACCGGTTGCGTTGCCTCTCGCGCAGTTCCCCTGCGTGTTTGCACCGCCACCAAGCTGGCTGGCCTGGCAGCCTTGCAGTTCTTTTCGTTGCCTCCTCGAGGCTGTGAGTAGCACCAGGCTGCTGATCGTGCTTCAAACTGCCCGCGTCGAGCTTTCGCTCCGTGGGTTTTCTAGCCGCCGCACCTTTGCTTTGCAGTGCCTCCCGTTTTTCTCGTCACGAATCTTCATGGCCGTGACTGGACTCATTCATCATGGCACGTTCGACTACGCTCGTTCAAGATTGGCACCTCCACCTGCCGACCGCGCCTGGGGCTCCTCTGCGCCGCCGACTGACACGTGTGTGTGTGTGGCGTGCGTGCGTGCGTGTGTGTGTGTGGCTGTGTGTGTGTCTGTGTGTGGCTGTGTGCGTGTCTGCGTGTTTATCTGCGCGTGTCTGTGTGTGTCTGTGTGTGTGTCTGTGTGTGTGTGTCTGTGTGTGCCTCTGTGTGTGTGTCTGTGTGTGTGTCTGCGTGTCTTTGTGTGTGTCAGTGTGTGTCTGTGTGTGTCTGTGTGTTTATGTCTGTGTGTGTGTCTGTGTGCGTCTGTGTGTGTCTGTGTGTGTCTGTGGCTGTGTGTGTCTGTGTGTGTCTCTGTGTCTTTGTGTGCGTGTCTGTGTGTGTCTGTGTGTGTCTGTGTGTTTGTGGCTGTGTGTGTGTCTGTGTGTGTGTCTGTGTGTGTGTGTCTGTGTGTGTGTCTGTGTGTGTCTGCGTGTGTCTGCGTGTGTCTGCGTGTGTGTCTGTGTGTGTGTCTGTGTGTCGCTGTGTCGCTGTGCCTCTGTGTCTATGTGTCTATGTGTATGTGTAAATGTGTGAGTATGTCTCTGTGTCGCTGCGTTTCTGTGTCGCTGTGCCTCTGCGTCTCTAAGTCTCTGTGTCGCTGTCTCTCTGTGTCCCTGTGTCTCTGTGTCTCTGTGCCTCTGTGTCTCTGTGTCGCTGTGTCGTTGTGTCCCTGTGTCTCTGTGTCTCTGCGTCGCTGTGTCGCTGTGTCCCTGTGTCTCTGTGTCTCTGTGTCTCTGTGTCGCTGTGTCTCTGTGTCTCTGTGTCGCTGTGTCCCTGTGTCTCTGTGTCTCTGTGTCGTTGTGTCGCTGTGTCGCTCTGTCGCTCTGTCGCTGTGTCCCTGTATCTCTGTATCTCTTTGTCTCTTTGTCTCTGTGTTTATGTGTCTCTGTGTCTGTGTGTGTGTTTGTGTGTGTCTGTGTGTGTCTGTGTGTGTCTGCGTGTTTGTGGCTGTGTGTGTCTGTGTGTGTCTGAGTGCGTTTGTGTGTGTCTGTGTGTGTGTCTGCGTGTGTCTGCGTGTGTCTGTGTGTGTGTCTGTGTGTGTGTCTGTGTGTCTCTGTGTCGCTGTGCCTCTGTGTCTCTGTGTCGCTGTGTCTCTGTGTCTCGGTGTCTCTGTGTCTCTGTGTCTTTGTGTCGCTGTGTCGCTCTGTCGCTCTGTTGCTCTGTCGCTGTGTCCCTGTATCTCTGTATCTCGTTGTCTCTGTGTCTCTGTGTTTCTGTGTCTCTGTGTCTCTAAGTCTCTGTGTCTCTCTGTCGCTGTGTCTCTGTGTCTCTGTGTCGCTGTGTCTCTGTGTCTCTGTGTCTCTGTGTCGCTGTCTCTCTGTGTCCCTGTGTCTCTGTGTCTCTGTGTCTCTGTGTCTCTGTGTCGCTGTGTCTATGTGCCTCGGTGTCTCTGTGTTTCTGTGCCTCTGTGTCTCTGTGTCTGTATGTATGTGTGTCTCTGTGTCTCTGTGGCTCTGTGTCTCTGTGTCTGTGTGCCTGTGTGTCTGTGTCTGTGAGTGCGTGCGTGTGTGCGTGTGCGCGTGTGTGCGTGTGTGCGTGTGTACGTGTGTGCGTGTGTGCGTGTATGCGCGTGTGCGCGAGTGCGCGTGTGTGCGTGTGTGCGTGTATGCGCGTGTGCGTGTGTGCGTGTGTGTGTGTGTGTGTGCGCGTGTGCGCGGATGCGCGGGTGTTTCGCGTGTGCGCGTCTGTGCGCGCGTGCGCGCGTGAGCGTGTCCGCGTGTGCGCGTGTGCGCGTGTGCACGCTTGCGCGTGTGCGCGTGCGCACGTGTGCGCGCGTGCGCGTGTCCGCATGTGCGCTTGTGCGCGTGTGCGCGTGTGCGCGTGTCCGCGTGTGCGCGTGTGTGCGTGTGCGCATGTGTGCGCATGTGTGTGCGTGTGTGCGCGTGTGCGTGCGCGTGCGCGCGTGTGCCCGTGTGCGCGTGTGCGCGTGTGCGCATGCGTGCGCGTGCGTGCGCGTGCGTGCGCGTGCGTGCGCGTGCGTGCGAGTGCGTATGCGTGTGGGCTTGCGTGGGCGTTTGCGTGGGCGTGGGCGTGGGCGTTGGCGTCGGAGTGAGCGTGTGCGCGCGTGCACGTGCATGTGCGTGTGCGTGTGCGTGGGCGGTTGCGTGTGCGCGTTTGCATATGCGTGTGCCCGTGTGCGTGTGTGTGTGTGCGCGTGCGTTCGCGTGTGGGCGTGTACGTGTGCGTGTGCGTGTGTGTGTGTGTTTGTGCGTGTGCGTTCGCGCGTGTGCGCGTGCGTGTGCGTGTGCGCGTGTGCGTGGGCGTGTGTGCGTGTGCGTGTGCGTTTGCGTGTGTGCGTATGCGTGTGCGTGTGTGTGTGTGCGCTTGCGTGTGTGAGTGTGCGTGTCCGAGTGTCCGCGTGTCCGCGTGTCCGCGTGTCCGCGTGTCCGCGTGCGCGTGCGCGTGCGTGTGCGTGTGCGTGTGTGTGTGTGTGTGTGTGTGCGCGTGTGCGTGTGTGCGTGTGCGTGTGCGTGTGCGTGTGCGCGTGCGCGTGCGCGTGCATGTGCGTTTGCGTGTGTGTGCGTGCGCGTGTGCAAATACGTGTGCGTGTGTGCATGTGTGCGTGCGTGTGCGTGTGCGTCCATGCGTGCGTGCGTGCGTGGGTGTGCGTGTATGTGTGTGTGTGTGTCTGTGTGTCTGTGTGTCTGTGGATCCGTGTGGGTGTGTGGGGTTTGTGGGTGTGTGCGTGTGTGCATGTGTGCGGGTGTGCGTGCGTGCGCGTGTGCGTCCATGCGTGCGTGCGTGCGTGCGTGCGTGCGTGGGTGTGCGTGTATGTGTGTGTCTGTGTGTCTGTGTGTCTGTGGATCCGTGTGGGTGTGTGGGGTTTGTGGGTGTGTGCGTGTGTGCGTGTGTGCGGGTGTGCGTGTGTGTGTGTGAGTGTGTGCGTGTGCGCGTGTATGCGTCCGTGCGTCCGTGCGTGCGCGCGCGTGCGTGCGTGCGTGCGTGCGTCCGTGCGTGCGTGCGTGCGTGCGTGCAGTATCGTGTGTGTTGCGATTGTGGTATACGAGCTGACTCTTCACATTGTATCGATAATACCCGGTAGGACTGAAGTAGAAAACACTTGTAAGTGGAAGCATGGCAAGAAGAACGCGGTAGCCAGACGGTAGCAAAGAGAGAGTCACACCACGCTGCGCGTGAACAACAAGGAGTGCGACGCCAACGTGACACGGAGACCTTTCGTTGGGAAGATTATCCAAGCAGTGTTTACATTGAAGGGCTTGTATTTTGGTTCTGGGGGAAGCATTGTCTGGTGGCGCTTGGGTTCTCATTACGGGTGTCTGCCGCACTTTCCAGTGGTCGGGATTCCTACGGGTGGCTGTCACATTTTCCAGTGTTTGTTTGGTTCCCATGGGTGTTTGCCGTACAGGTAAGCCGCATAATAAGGATGGGCATCCTTCCTAAGGGTACCCTTGCATGTTTGCCCCTTCCGCCATCCTTTACCACTTTCGCTGGCCGCGCCCTGCTCGAAAAGCTTCGAAATGGCCTTCCAAGGCCCTTGCATCCTTATCGTGCGTCCTAATGATTCGGGTTTATTGTATTGTCCAGTGGCCGCTTGGATTCCTATGGAAATCTGCCGCACTTTCCAGTGCACGCTCGGATTCCTGTGAGCTCTACTGTGTGGATGGCGTATTTTGCTGTGGCCGCTTGGGTCCCTGCATGTTCCCATGGCCGTGGTTAAAGCACTTCCCCTGGCCGCTCTGGCTTTTGTGAGAGGTGCGGGTATTATGCCGCAGCTCAGACTCGTTCGTTGAGAGGTGAGTGCGGGGTGAGACCCACCACCACAACCACAACCTCGGCATGTATGTATGTATATATATATGGGCATACATACATAGATGCACATAGGAATAGAGTATTACATGGTCGGTGGCCTAAGGTTCTCGCCAAGAGAGAGCGAGAGAGGCGGGCCAGGATCCTGGAGGATTCCATAGTTTTCGCGGCTTCACGACATGCATATTTCCATTCCATTATGATGCCTGGCTTGCGCAGTTTATGGCGTCAGCGTGGGTTCCGTCGCAGAATCAGAGAGAATTTGGCAAGGAGCGCCCCGCCACAACGAGAGGGTGGCTTCGGCGGGGAGCGCGGCAGGTGGCCACCACCGACGCCGGGTACTGCAAATGGGTCATTCTCGCGCCACCGCCGCCGCCGCCGTTGTCCGCGCCACCGATGCCGCTGCCAACACTCAGAAGCGGCAGATGTGCACCACCGCCATCCCAGGCCTGGGCCGTCCTGGCCGCCCTGGGAGATGGTGTCTTCGACCAGGAGGTGCTGCATCCCCCCCCCCCCCCGCTGGCCAGCGATGGTGGTGGTGCACAGCCTCCTTCTGTGGGAGACGCTGCTTCCCGCTGCCCGCTCTTCCTGCGGTCACTGCCACTCTTGCTGCCCGTCCGCCGCCGCCTTCCGCTGCCGCCCACGAGCTCGCCGCCTGGAGCGCCGCCCGCTCTCTGTTCTGGGCCCGCTCTCTCATCTGAGCCGGCTGTTCTTGTCTCTTGATTTGTACAGGCGTTGGCCCAGGTCAGTCCGTCTCCGAGTTCAATGTTTGTTTTGCAAGGGGGTGTTATTCTTGGGGTCCACAGGGCCGCCAGCTGAAAGGGTGTCGCCATCGAAGATCATCGAGGGATCGATCAGTTGATTTTTGTTCCTCCGTGGAAGTCCAGCTGAGGCGCGAGGAAGCAAAGAAGGGGTGGCTCCGTCGGAGGAGGCAGGCGGAAGCAAAACATGGTCCGCCAAGATGCTCGAATTCGAGGTTTCCGGAGCGGGACATCTATCAATTATTCGTGGTTGTTTGGATCAGGACCACTTCATCCAAAATGAGCACATTGAGCCATGAGCAATGTCTACGAGGCGCCTCGTAGGGATTCCCTGCGCGGCGGAATCACCAGGCATCTTGCTTAGACGGCCTGCTGGCGCTTGATCCAGGCCTTGGCGTACTCCTTGGCGCGAGGGAGCCCCGCGGACTCCGCTCTACGTCTTCGGCGCTGGCCGAAACTGATGCCGATCGTTGCGATATTGGGGATGTTGTGGTCAGCGTTTTGGGAGGCCGAGCCGATTCAGACCACATTCGAGGCCCTGGAGGGGCCCAAAACCTTTGCGTTCCCTGTGTTCTCTTCTCCGCGCGCCGCCAGTGTCGCACGTTTGTTCCCGCGCGCACGTCGTGAGCCGGTGCGCTGGCCAAGGAATCTCCCCCACGAGGACCAGACCCTGACGCGAATCCTTGCTCTGCCGATGCGGGGCGGGAGGCTCACGATCTCACCGGCGACGAGTCACGCACTCTTTCAGTAGCGTTTAGCCGATCCCTATGCCCATCCCGGTCCACATCTCGAGCCCCACCGTCTCACCACCTCAGTTGGGGATATGCTCCTCGACACCCGAAGAGAGCAGCCTATATCCCCTATCAGGGGGGTAAATCGGCCAGTGGGGCCCAGCCCACGCTGGTGGGGATGGGGATCGGTTAGACGATGCTCATTCTTCCGCGAGACCCAGGCAGCCACCAACGTCAGCGACCAGAAAGTGGGAAGAATTCAGTGCAAGCATTGCCTGGGGAAGGTCTCCCCTGGTCCGCGAGCCTTCTGACTCCTTACCTTGGCATCGCTCGGACGTGTGCCTTTTTTTTCGGCGAGGGCCATCGAGGAGCATCCTTGATCATTTGGCGAAAAACCACGCACGAAACCGAAAAAAACACAGGAAATGGACGTCCGAGCGATGGCGAGTTACAGTCAAGGCGCTGACACAAGGGCCACTCTAGGCTCAGTCCGGGAGCGGTTTGGTGGGGCCCTTCCCGAGAATTAGGTCGGAGAGCTTATTCGTGGACAGGGCCCGCCGTGGCGAGGAAGGCCCCTTCGTTCTTTACAGTCGGGGCCCTGAAGAAGGAACCCTTTTGGTTGGGGAGGGGCTCCGCGTTCCTTAAGTGTTTCACAGCTTGCCTCAGGTTTCCCTTTATGTTTTCAAGTGGAAATCGAAGTTTAACTTATGGAAAAAAGGGGCCTCGTTCCTTATTTGGGGTTCCTTAGGTCAACGCCCCGACTGTACGTGGCGTTCCTTCTAGCAGTGCCGTGACTGTATCTGGTGCCCCCACCGTCCCGAGCTTCACAGCAGCAAGTCTCCGTCGGGCCTGTCCCTCTACAGGAGGAGAATTCACGAATAGTCGGAAAATAGTCTGGGACGATGTCCTGAGTATTTTTGGCTCTGCTTGAAAATGGTTTGCGTCTTTCTCACGTTTCGTCCAAAGTCCGCCTGTAGGGGGACATGCCCGACCTAACAGCAAGTTCCAGGAGCGCCGCTTCACCGCGGGCGTCGGAGGCCCAGGCCGACACCCTCGCGCAGGCCCCAGCCTGCGGGCACGCGGAGGGTGGCGGGAGTACGGCGGGGGCCCACGCCAAGAAGCGCCCCGCTTGCCTCCAGGGTGCCCTGGGTTTCCTGCGCTTCGATGCTTGGCTGCGGAAGGCGCGACGCTCCCGCACCTAAGGCCACTGGACGTCCTGGGGTCTCGAGGAGGAGGAGGAGGGAGGAGGAGGAGTAGGGGGAGGAGGAGGAGGGAGGAGGAGGAGGAGGAGGAGGAGGACCCTGTGTCGTGACGCCTTGGGCCGTCCAGGGCCGGGTTTCCTCTGGAAGGTTTCTCGTGGTCGAGCCCCTTCCTGTGAGGGCAGGAGCGGCCTTGCCGTCGCGGGCCGGGGCTTCCCTCGCCTCGCCGTCCTCGGCCGGCGCGGCCTCCCCCGCGTGAGGGCGAGGCAGCGCGCACGGGGGGGCGGGGAGCGAGGGGAGCGGCCATCCTGAGACGGCGGGGGGGGCTCCCTGTGGAAGGCAGGGCCACTCTCCGGAAGGGCCCCACCGGCGGCGAGCGAGGAGAGGGAGAAGGAGAAGGGGAGAAGGGGAGAAGGAGAAGGAGAAGGGAGAAGGGAGAAGGGAGAAGGAGAGGGGGAGCGGCCTCCCGAGACGGCGGGGGGCGGCTCTTCTGGAAGGCAGGGCCACTCTCTGGGCAGGGCCCCCTCGGCGGCGAGCGAGGGGGGGGGCGGGAGGTGAGAAGGAGAAGGGCCCAGGCAGAGGGCGGCGGGACTTCTCAGGAGCCCTCGCGCCTCCGGACACGGTTTGGGGGGGTCTTCCGGGAGGGCTCAGAAAACTTCTCCCGGGGGGGGCGTCCGAGCCTTCTGAAAGGGCTGATTCTCCTTCGCACTCCTCCCCCCCCCTCGCCCGCCGCCGAAAGAAGGCGTCTGAGAAGCCCGGAGGTCTTCTCAGAGGCCCCCATGCCTTAGAAGCCCCCCCGCTTCCTTAGAAGGCCGCCCCCACTGCGCGCGCCGCCAAGAGACGCCCGTCTTGCCCGACGTGTCTTGTCCGCACCGGCGGGAGCCACAGCTGGGCACGAGCGGAGCTCATCCCCCGCCGAGGTCCTCGCGATAGACGGCCCGAAGGGCGCCATGGCTGAATTCCAGGGCTTCCTCAAAGCACGCAGCGGCGGCGAACCAGTGTCACCTGGAGGGGGCAAGGGGCACCGGCGGAGAGATGGCGTCTGTTGCTCCTCTCTCTCGTCTCTCGTCCTCGTCCCATCGTGGACGTGCAGGGCAGAAGGGGGCAAGGGACGGGGAGGGCACCTCTTTGCATGCAGCTCTCAGCCCCAGCGCCACCGTGCGACAGCGAGGCGCACCAGACTCGCCCTGTGGGTGGTCGAGTGGGCGGCCATGCATGGGGCGGCAGCGAGGGCTGCATAAGAGGGGCCCTTTAGGGCCCAGAAGAGGGCCTCTGGGGCCCGAAAAGGGCACGCTCCTCCCCCCCATTCATCACCCCCCCATCAATTCGCGCCCAAGGCGGGGGAAGAGGTCTGCGGTGCCAGAAATCGGTGGTACGAGGGGGGTCGACTACTAATAGGTAGGCAGGGCACAGGTTGGAAGCCCTCCTGCCTTCAAGAAAGCCAGCTTGGAAGCTTCCGATCCCTTCTGTGAAGCACCCTGCCGTGTTCGAGTACACAGACCCACAATTTTAAGGAAACGCGTAAAACGTCCGTGGGCTCTGGATCTCGCTCAAGACAATCAAGAACCTGGACCGGACCCCGGGCGTTTTCTTGGAGTTTCTCTGTCTTCGTGGAGTGCCCCGACATGTGGACCGGGACTATTGGTTAAGGAAGCGCTTCGAGCTTGGCCCGAAGACATTGTCTGCCTCTGGGCGGGGGTGTGCCGCCCATCTCGCCCCACCCGCTCGTGTGCGCGGCGCCAAAAGAGAGCGCCGCGCTGACCCCCCCCTTTTTCCGACGAGGCCAGGTTCGCCCCCGAGCCGATCCGGCCATCCTTTGGCCCCCGTCCCTGTGCTTCAGGAGCGGCCAGCACAGCGTTAAAAGCTCATGTGAAGAGTGTTTTGACCGAAGGAAGTACGGGCCTGAAAAAGCCCAGGGCAAGGGGTTGCCCATCAGAGGGTGCGGCCCACCCTGTTCGTGACAGCGCGCGGGGGCCCCTTCTGAAGTTTCGACAGCGTCGTCTTGCGGACGTGTCCGTCCGCAAACAGCTTATAACAAACTGGAGGAGGCCCCACAGGGCAGCCGTGCAACAAGAGCAGCACAGCCCAAGGAAGCATGAACTCGAGCAGTTTGTCAATGAGGCCCGGGAGCCGTTGGCGCCCGTGTGGACTCTTTTGGGAGTCGTTCGGGCCCTGTGGACGCCATCCTCGAGGGCGTCGCCTGGAGCTCCGTGTGCATCTGGAGCGCAGTGCCGTCGCTGCCGAGGAACGGCCCGACCAGTCTTCAAAGCGAGGCGGAGGGGTTCACAACGGCACCATCCTCTGAGAGGCTATGGCCTCACCGCGCCGGCCGCCTGGTCGGCCCGTCACCCTTGGGGACGTCTCGCGCGTCCGTCCGTCCGTCCGTCCTGAGGCGGTCTTGGAAGTCTTTGGGGCCCGTTCGGGTAAGTGGACCTGCCTCTCTTAGAAGAAGAAGAAGAAGAAGAAGGAGGAGGAGGAGGAGGAGGAGGGAGGAGGAGGAGGTGGAGGACGAGGCGGAGGAGCAGAAGACGAAGAATGACCAGGAGGTCGGAAACTCCGGCTCCTCCAGAGAATTGTAACAGCATTTGTGCTGTGCTGTCTTTGGGATATTGATGGGTAGCATGCTGTCCGCCCGTACATTTCAGTGCATGTGTCACGATCTCGACCCACGTGTTCCACGTTGGAGACATCCTTTGTACGTAGCAAGGCAGGGGTAGCGCGCCGAACGCCAAGAAATTAGACATCGGCGTCTTGATTGCTGCCTGCCTTGCCCCGTTTCATCGAGATTCGTTGCACCCACACCCTCCTCAAGACATGCAGCCTGAACGTTGGTCACTGAGATGTCTTTCCCCACATGTTTTGTAGGGTTATGGTTTTCTTCTCTGCCGCGTCGCACCCGCGTCTCCCGCACACACACACACACACACCTCCCCTCCCTCCTCCTTCCTCCCCTCCTTCACTTCCTTCCTCCCTTCACCCACCTGCAACACATGCACGGCACGTGCATCAGACGCGCGTCTACATGCAGCCGCACGCATGCACGCACTCGCACACACACACACACACACACACACACACACACACACAACATACACCATACGACGCTAGTGCACGCCTGGCGTGTTCACTGCAGCTGCGACGCTGACCCGCGCCGCACCCACATCTCACCCGCACGCTCCTCCCTCCCTCCTCCTTCCTCCCCTCCTCCACCCGCGTTCATCAGTCACACCCTCTCCTCCTCGCACACACACACACAAGCACAAACATCACAGCACAGCACAGGACAGCACAGGACATACATAGACACACACACATGTATATATATATATATATATATATCACGCGGACATCAGAAACATCCATCAGACACACGGACACATACACACACGCACACACACACACACACACACACACACACACACACACACACACACACACACACACACACCACACACACACACACACACGCGCGCGCGCGCGCGCGCGCGCACACACGCACGCACACACGCACGCACGCACGCACGCACGCATACAAAAACACACGCACACAGGCACACATAGACACAGACGCCCACACTCAGGCATACAGACACGCAGACACACCGAGGGGGTGGTCTCTCACCGCGGCAGCTATCCGTGACGGTCGTCCAAGGCACGGCAGGCATGGCAGATTCTCGACACAATAGGGGGTGCGCAAGGGGTGGTCTCTCATCGCGGCCGCTATCCGTGACGGTCATCCAGGGAACAGCAAGCATGCCATATTCTCGACACCATAGGGGTTGCGCAGGGTGTGGTCTCTCACCGCGGCTGCTATCCGTGACGGTCTTCCAGGGCACAGCAGGCATGCCATATTCTCGACACCATAGGGGGTGCGCACGGGGTGGTCTCTCACCGCGGCCGTTATCCGTGACGGCCGCCCAGGGCACAGCAGGCATGGCATATTCTCGACACCACAGGGGGTGCGCACGGGGTGGTCTCACACCGCGGCCGCTATCCGCGACGGTCGTCCAAAGCACGGCAGGCATGGCATATTCTCGACACCATAGGGGGTGCGCAGGGGGTGGTCTCTCACCGCGGCCGCTATCAGTGACGGCCGCCTGGGGCACAGCAGGCATGGCAGATTCTCGACACCATAGGGGGTGCGCACGGGGTGGTCTCTCACCGCGGCCACCATCCGTGACGGCCGCCCAGGGCACAGCAGGCATGGCAGATTCTCGACACCATAGGGAGTGCGCGGAAGGGGGTCTCTCACCGCGGCCACCATCCGTGACGGCCGCCCAGGGCACAGCAGGCATGGCAGATTCTCGACACCATAGTGGGTGCGCACGGGGTGGCCTCTCAAAGCGGCCGCTATCCGTGACGGTCCTCCAGGGCAAAGCAGGCATGCCATATTCTCGACACCACACGGGGTGCGCAGGGGGTGGTCTCTCACCGCGGCCGCTATCCGTGACGGTCGTCCAGGGCACAGCAGGCATGCCAGATTCTCGACACCATAGGGGGTGCGCACGGGGTGGTCTCTCACCGCGGCCGCTGTACAGCAGGCATGGCATATTCTCGACACCATAGGGGGCGCAGGGGGGGGGGTCACTCACCGCGGCCGCTATCCGTGACGGTCGTCCAGGGCACAGCAGGCATGGCAGATTCTCGACACCATAGGGGGTGCGCAGGGGGTGGTCTCTGAGCGCGGCCGCTATCCGTGACGGTCGTCCAGGGCACAGCAGGCATGGCAGATTCTCGAAACCATAGGGGGTACGCACGGGGTGGTGTCCGAGTGCGGCCGCTATCCGTGACGGTCGTCCAGGGCAAAGCAGGCATGGCACATTCTCGACGCCAGACGGGGTGCGCAGGGCATGGTCTCTGAGCGCGGCCGCTATCCGAGCCAGTCGTCCAGGGCATAGCAGACGTGACATACTCTCGGCACCATGGGGGGAGCAGGGCATGGTCTCTGAGCGCGGCCGCTATCCGAGCCGGCCGTCCAGGGAATAGCAGGCGTGGCACTTTCTCGACGCCATGGGGGGGGGGCAGGTCGTGGTTTCTGAGCGCGGCCGCTATCCGTGACGGTCGTACAGGGCGTGGCAGGCGTGGCAGATTCTCGTAACCTTAGGGGGTCCGCAGGTGGTGGTTTCTGAGCGCAGCCGCTATCCGAGCCAGTCGTCCAGGGCGTAGGAGGCGTGGCACTTTCTCGACACCATAGGGGGTGCGTAGGGAACGGCCACCAACATCATTCTCACATGCTTCACTTCAGCTACCATCACTCCAGCCATAGTATAAGTATGTGGGGTTCCTCGGTAGCGTAATTTGGTTACCTCCCGGTTTTAGGGTTCGGGCATTGCTGTTGTCGGCCCACACGTTGCGGGACGATTTGGTTCCCGCCCCCACAGATGTTTCCCGTGTCCGAGACGGCCCACACGGGGGCGCCAAGTGTGAAAATTGCGAGGTCCTGCAGCTCTCCACAGCGCGTGTCAACTGGAGGCGGCCGTGGTGCCCTCCGAGCCTGCCGGATCCCTCCGAGAGGCCAGAGCAGGGGTCGGAGACGACACGCCTGCGGCCCGCGCCACCCGGGAGCGTGGGCAGGCGCCGCCCTCGCTGCGCCGCCCCCCCAGGGCCACGCAGCGGCTGTGCAGGCGCGCGCGCGCGAATGCCCTGGCCTTCCCCCCTGCCCCCCCCCTCTGCCTTCGAGCTCTCTGGTGGATTCGCGTGGCCTTGTACGTGCCGCTCGCCGCTCACTGCTCGGCGTGTGAGCTGGTGCACCTGGCGCTCGTCTCTGTCCCCGCCGTGCGTGCGTGCTGGCAGAGGTCCCGTACTCCTCTGCGGTCTCGTTACGGTCAGGAACTTTAGCTCAACGTGTCGCTCGGCCGGTTCTGGCCCACCACGCTACGGCGCGACACGCCATCCGCTTTTCGGTCTCCAGGCGTCCACGTCCCGAGCCTTTCCCAGCCTCCCGCCCAGCTGAGCGGAGCGACACGATATCTGCTCGCACGGGATAGCGTGTCGCCAGGGCCGCCGCGGCGACACTCGAGGCAAAAGCTCCCCGTAGGCAACGTCAAGGGTGGTCACCACTGAGAAGGCTCGTCCCCCCCAGGCAGTGCCAAGGGGGGGTCACCACGAGCTTGGAGCCGCCTGGGGGTCTGAGGTGACCCAGCATCGGCTCCGGCCAGCAAGGAGGGCGGGCAGGTCCGTCTTCGGGCTCTGGGACCGTGAAAAAAGGATCCAGGCTGAAAAACTGCACCAGATGGACCCCAGGAAGGAACTGGGGACAGATTTTGAGCGGATTTGGCTTCATCCTCCCCCTCCTGACCGATTTCTGGGGTGCCAGCCAGTTCAGGCCCCCCAGACGCCTCCAAGGAGGAGCGTTGTGCCGAGTCACCTAGCAGGACACGCTACCCTTACGGCACATAATGCCGGAGCGCTGGATAGACTCCGTCACAAGAAGTACCCCCCCTGAGAAGAAGTGCTCTGACTGGGTAAGCACCAGCGAGAGAGCTCAATCGATGCATAACGTGTTTTGCCCCTGCTCGGTAAACTCTTCGGGTGCTTGACTGGCAGTGGCCCACGGCAAAATATTATCCTGGCGAAGGACCCAACCATTTGCAGTTGTGAGTACCGTCGTTGCGGGCATCGCCTTCGGGGGATCTCCTCATGGGGCCATGAAGCATGCGAAGGGTCTGCCGATGTGCGGCGGGGCCGCCATGTGGGCGCTGCGACTGGTGCTTCAGGCGGAACGCACTACGGGGCCGGGACAAATGCGAGGGGTGCGCCGCAATGGGGCGGGGCCGCCACTGGGGCCTTCGGTGAAGCTTCCTATGGGGCCACGAAACGCTGTACTGGGATGGGGAACCGCATGCGAGTACGGCCACTAGGGCTTTCGGTGGAGCTCCCTATGGGGCCACGAAGCGCTGTGCTGGGTGAGGGGAAAGCATGCGGACACCGCCACTGGGGCCTTCGGTGGAGATCCCTATGGGGCCATGAAACGCTGTACTGGGTAGGGGGAAACGCATGCGAACATCGCCAATGGAGCCTTCCGTGGAGCTCCCTATGAGGCCCTGAAGCGCTGTACTGGGTGGGAGAACCGCGTGCGAGTGCAGCCACTGGGGCCTTCGGTAGAGCTCCCGATGGGGCCATGAAACGTTGTACTGAGCAGGGGGAAACGCATGCGAACATCGCCACTGGAGCCTTCGGTGGAGCTCCCTATGGGGCCACAAGACGCTGTATTGGGTGGGGGCGACGCATACGGGCGGTGCCACTGGGGCCTTCGGTGGAGCTCCCTATGGCATAATGGGTCCACGAAACGCTGTACTGGATGGGGGTGGGTGATGATGCTGATGCTTATGATGATAGAGGAGGAGGAGGAGGAGGAGGAGGAGGAGGAGGAGGAGGAGGACGAGGAGGAGGAGGACGAGGACGAGGACGAGGACGAGGACGAGGACGAGGAGGAGGAGGAGGAGGAGGAGGGGGAGGGGGAGGGGGAGGGGGAGGGGGAGGAGGAAGGAGTGAGGGACGCGGGGCACTGTCTCTTCAAAATGAGGATCCAACATCACAGGATGGTTGGCAACAAATCCTCCCTCGCTACAGTCATCGTGCTATCAAAAGGAGCTCCGAGTAAGGAACGAAGGGTTGTTCTGGCAACGGCGACCCTCGACCACGAGTAGGTTCCCCGACCTCGTCCTAAGGAACAGCGCGACGAACTGAGCCCTTCCCGAAGCCAAAGTGATCTTTATTTCAGCGTCATGTCTGTAATCTGCCCGGCTTGGTGCCTGGGTGTGGCCGTGATGCCGTCCCACGCCCACCGCCAGGACACTTCAGCCCGACTTCCCCGTTCCGGCCAGGCCCTGGCAAGGACGCGCCGGCGAGGTCTGCGGGCATTTGCGAGAAGAAAGGCGGCAGCAAGCAGTGGCGGGAGAGAGGGGAAGAGCGAAAGGAATGGAAGACGAGGTAGAGAGAGAATGAGACGGAGATGGAGACAGAGAGAGAGACAGAGAGAGACAGAGAGAGAGAGAGAGAGACAGAGAGGGAGGCAGAAAGAGAGGGACCAGGGCAGAGGCAGAGGCAGAGAGAGAGAGGGAGGGACGGAGCTGAGCGGGGGCAGGAGCCCGAGCCGGGGCCCGAGCCAGAGGCAGACGCCAAGAGAGAGAGGGCGGAGGCCTGGGCCCGCGACAGGCCGCCGGCCTCCCCCCCGCCGCCGCGCAGCCCCTCCACGGCGGCGGCTCCTCGCCCGGCGCCGCGCCGCGGCTGCCGGGCGCCGGCGCGGCTGCGCCGCCGGTGGCAGGCGCGTCTCCTGCGGGCCCAGGCCCCCATCGAGGCGTGAGAGTATCACGACGGCAGGCTTCTCGCTGTTTTATGCCTCGGGGGGCCCTCTCCGGTCCTCGGGGCCGTCAGAACACGATTCGGAATTGAAGACTGGTCCCAGGGAGAGGGTCGAGACCGCTGGAGGCCGACGTTATGACAATAGCCTGGCTAAGGACCCAACCATGTGCAGTTGTAAGCACCGTCGCTGTATGCACCGCATTCGGAGGAGCTCCCTATAGTGCCACGAAAGGTGTGAGGGGTGTGCCAAAATTTGTCCGGTGGGCGCATGCGACAGCAGCCAATTGGGCCGTCGGTGGAATTTCTTATGGGGCCACGAAACGTGTGAGACGTGTGCCGAATTGGTGCGGTGGGCGCATGCGAACGCAGCCACTGGCGCCTTCGGTGGAGCTCCTTCTGGGGCCACGAAAAGCGTGAGGGAGTGCCGAAATGAGTGCGGTGGCGCATGCGAACGCAGCCACTGGCGCCTTCGGTGGAGCTCCTTCTGGGGCCACGAAACGTGTGAGGGGTGTGCCAGAATGTGCGTGGGTGACGCATGCGGGCGGTGGCGCTGGGGCCTTCGGTGGAGCTCCCTGTGGGGCCACGAAACGTGTGAGGGGTGTGGCGACATGGGTGTGAGTGAAACATGCAGGCGGTGGCACTGGGGCCGTCGGTGAAGCTCCCTATGGGGCCCTGAAACCTGAAACATGTGAGGGTTGTGCCGGAATGGGCGTGGGTGACGCATGCGGGCGGTGGCACTGTGGCCTTCGGTGGCGACGAAACATGTGAGGGGTGTGTCAAAATGGGTGTGGGTGACGCACGCGGGCGGTGGTACCGTGGCCTTCGGTAAAGCTCCCAATGGGGCCACGAAACGCGCGAGGGGTGCGCCAGAATGTGCGTGGGTGACGCATGCGGGCGGTGGCAGTGGGGCCTTCGGTGGAGCTCCCTGTGGGGCCACGAAACGTATGAGGGGAATGACGAAATGACGAAATGGGTGCGGGTGACGCATGCGGGCAGTGGCACTGGCGCCTTCGGTGGAGCTCCCTATGGGGCAACGAAAAGCGTGAGGGGTGTGCGGGAATGGGCGTGGGTGACGCATGCTGGCGGTGGCACTGGGGCCTTCGTTGGAGCTCCCCATGGGACCACGAAACGGGTGAGGGGTGTGCCGAAATTGGTGTGGGTGCCGCATGCGGGCGGTGGCAGTGTGGCTTTCGGTGAAGCTCCCTATGGGGTCACGAAACGTGTGAGGGGTGTGACGAAATGGGTGTGGGTGACGCATGCGGGCGGTGGCACTGGGGCCTTCGATGGAGCTCCGTATGGGGCTACGAAACGTGTGAGGGGTGTGGCGAAATGGGTGTGCGTGACGCATGCGGGCGGTGGCAGTGGGGTCTTTGGTGAAGCTCCCTATGGGGCCCTGAAACGTGTGAGGGGTGTGCCGAAATGGGTGTGGGTGACGCATGCGGGCGGTGGCACTGGGGCCTTCGGAGGAGCTCCCTATGGGGCCACGAAACGCTGTACTGGGTGGGTGAAACGCAAGGAGGAAGGAGGAGGGGGAGGAGGGAGGATGAAGGGAGGAGGAGGATGAAGGAGACGCGGGGCGCTGCCTCTTCAAAACGAGAACCCAACACCACAGGATGGTTGGGAAAAAGATGACGTCGGGAGTCTGAGCTATGCGTGGACGTGACCCTTTCGCCAGGATGACCTGTAGCGTGCGAGAACATGTCTACGCTGTCGAAAGCAGCAGCGAGGGGCACAGCGCAGACATGGCCTCTTGATCGCTGAGCGCGAAGCGGCAGCAGCGGCTGTCGGTCCCGGGTTTGGCCACCCCGCGCCCCCGCTGCGCCGCGCACCGAAGGTCACTCTTTCCCAGGGTCGCCCCTGCGTGTAGCCGAGGGAGCCGCGAGGGGCATCCTCGTCTGCCTGAGGTCCTCCTCCTCCTCCTCCTCCTCGTCCTCCTCCTCCACCTCCGCCTCCTCGTCCTCCTCCTCCACCTCCTCCTTCTCGTCCTCCTCCTCCTCCTCCTCGTCTTCCTCCTTCTCCTCCTCCTCCTCCTCCTCCTCCTCCTCCTCCTGGGGGCGTCGAGGGCCCAGGCCTCGGGCTTTCCGGCGTCGCGATGCGTGTGTGTGTGTGTTCAGGCCGGGAGATTTTCTGGGCCTCCCTTCGGGGGCCACGGTAGGGGAGGAGAGGCACAGGAGCATGTCGGGCCTGTACCTCCACAGGGGGGGGGGAATCCAAAAATAGTCCAAAGATAGGTTGGGGACGATGTTTCTACTATTTTTGGCGATTTTTGAATATGTTGGGGGTGGTTTCCATTTTTCCTCGACAATCTGCCTGAGGGGGGGACACGTCCGACCTAGCCGTCCCTGATGGGGTCGGGAGCAGATGGGGTCAGAGGATCGCGCCGCATCGACGACGTCGGCGACGCATTGCTCGTTTTTGTTTCGAGCAGTGCCGAAGCGTCACTGCTTGCCTACAGGCCCACCGAAGGATATTCTGAGAAGATTCCACGTGGTTTGCACGGAGTGCTCTTAGAGCATTTCAGGCTGAGACCGTCTTGTTTTGGCGCTTCGGATTCATGGTCTAAGAACATCGCTTCTTCAGCCACGCTCAGTGGGGGGTGGGGGGAGCGGGGAGGGCTTCTTAGAGGCACCCCTGCTTCTTAGAGGGAGCGGGCCACATCTATAGGAGTAGCAGCCTCCTTCTAAGAAGCCTTCCCTCGTCCCCCTAACCCCTTGTGCGCGCCGCCGGCTTTTGTTCTCAGAACATTATTGTGCCCGGGCACGCGCAGGGGGGGGGGTCGGGAGAGCGGGGCAGGCTTCTTAGAAGCACCCCTGCTTCTCAGAAGGCGCGGGCCTTGTCTGCAGATGTAAGGCCGGCGCCTTCCAAGAAGCAGCCCCCTTCTAAGAAGCCTTGCCCCCACTACCTCCCCCCCCTACCCCCCTTGCGCGCGCCGCCAATGTGCTCTGAGAACATGTCGTGATAGGCCTACAGGAATACCGGGACGGTCGGTCCCTGCTCCACTCCTGCGGGAGCCGCGCGGGGTATCTCGTCGTTTCCTTGAGTTCTAGCAGGCGAAGCACGGTATACTATCAAGTCGCATCGTGAGTAATCCCCGATGCAGCAGCAGGGCCCCACTGGGGAGGCGCAGTCCCCAAGCCCCCGTCGGATCTCGAGACCCGACCTTGCCGAGGAGGCGCAAGCATGGGCTACAGTCAAGTCGCATAGCAAGGATGAATGATTTTCCAAGGCTGCCCCTGCATCCTGGCCCCTTCGGCCCACCCTTGGCGACTTTCGCTGGCCAACCCCGCTCGAGAGCCGCCCCGCGGTGCGGAGCGACGCGCTATCCGCTCGCAAGGCGCGACGTGTCGCCGGGGCCGCCGCCGCGACACGCGAAGCGAAAGTGCCCGACCGTAGGTGGGCCTGGCGGGGGCCCTGGCGGATCGATCAGGTTCGAGAGCTGCCGCAGACAGATGGGATTTGGGCTCTGGCCCGACGGATCGATCAAATTCGAGAGATGCCCGACGGATCGATCGAACTCGAGAGATGCCGCCGAAAGATGGGATTTGGGCTCTGGCCCTGATTTTCCCGCGAGGCTGCAATTTCTCGCGGCGTCGGACCTCTCAGGGCTCGCCCATGGGGTGGAGGCAGGTCCTGGGGGAGCTCGGGCATGGCGAGGCGGGCATGATTGGGAGAGAGGGGCACGAAAATTGCTACAGGCAGAAAGGGAGGAGGGAGGAGGGAGGAGGGAGGGAGGAGGGAGGAGGGAGGAGGGAGGAGGGAGGAGGAAGGAGGAAGGAGGGAGGAGGGAGGAGGGAGGAGGGAGAAGGGAGGAGGGAGGAGGGAAGAGGGAGGAGGGAGGAGGGAGCAGGGAATTTCGGCCCCACCGCCGCACACGTTTCTCGAAGCGTGGCCGCATCTGTCTGTCGCCGGGAGGCGCCAGGAAAACCAGTTGCGGTAGGTTCACGCGGCGATGGCGCGCCAGCGACGCCGGCGAAGGCGTTCAAGGTCGAGTTCCGCATGATAGGTTGACGCGGATGCGCTGAGGGGCACAGCAACGCCACAGGATCCGGCGGAAGGCGACCTTGAACAATCGGGGCCGCGACCTGTCCCAGGTCGAACGATCGACGCAGTGTCAAATGCCTCTGCGCGCGCCGACGCCGCGTGAGCCGATTCGCGGGCCCTCCCTTTGCCATCCCGCCCTGGGCGCCCGCCCCAGAGGCCGGGGCCCTGGAGGTTACAGCCAACCCGCACAGCAAGCACGGGCAACCTTCCCGAGGGTGCCCCTTTGCATCCTCGCCCCCTTGACCAAGCAGGGCTAGCAGTAAGAGCGGTAGCATACTCGTTTTTTCTCGGCGCTCCGGTGCCATCGCCGGGCTCTTGTAGGGCCGTCCCCCCGGGACGTCTGACCGGCGCCTCGCCTCGCCTCGCCTCGGCCCATCCGTGGCGGCTTTCGCCCGCCGCGCCCCGCTCGAGGAGCCTCGGCCTGGGCGCCCGAGGCCCTGGCGTCCTCATCGCGCAGCCTCGTGACACGGGCCGGCAGTACGTGGGCTGACTCGCTGACCCTCCGTCTGCTCACTCCAGAACTGGCCTTATGTCGGGCACGCCCCTCTACAGGAGGAATACGCAGTTAGCCTGGCGAAGGGCCCGACCATGTGCAGTTGTGAATACCGCAATTATGAATATCATCTTCGCCCGCGCTCCCTATGGGGCCACGAACCGTGCGAGGGGCGTGCCGACATGCGTGGTGGGGCACACAACGCGAGCGAAGACGATAGGTCTCTGTGCGAGGGACTGAGAGCGAGTGAGTCTGATTGTGGATGAGTCTGCGCGCGGGAGTCTACGTGCATAAATGTTAACGCCCATGTCGGCACGCCTCTCACGAGGATCGCGCCCGCTTCCTTCCCGTTCTTCTTCTCCCTCTTTGCCCGTGCGCGCCCGCGTCCAAGGCTGCGGGCGCGGCGCCGCACGGAGTCCCCGCGACGC